TGTGGTAGAGGAAGAGAAGAGGACTAATGTATTCGGGACACGTGTGTGCCAGGACTCCCCTCAGACCTCACATTGTCTCGGGTTTTCCCTGAGAAGTCGATTAAATTTCTCAGGAAGGAATATTAAGGAGAGGCAGCAGGAATTTGGGGCAGAAAGGTTGGGGGGGGGCTTTATGTGCTTTATGACTCCTTGATGAACAGTTGACCAGACCACACACTAGAAGTTGAAGGGACGACAACGTTTCGGTCCGTCCTGGACCATTCTCAAGTCGATTGTCTTGACCAATCGACTTAAGAATGATCCAGGACGGACCGAAACGTCGTCGTCCCTTCAACTTCTAGTGTGTGGTCTGGTCAACATACGTCAGCCACGTTATTGTGACTCATCACCTGTACTTGATGAACAGGTTAGGATTGGTTGTTGTCGTGTTGATGTTGTCGTGTTGATGTTGTCGTGTTGATGTTGTCGTGTTGATGTTGTCGTGTTGATGTTGTCGTGTTGATGTTGTCGTGTTGATGTTGTCGTGTTGATGTTGTCGTGTTGATGTTGTCGTGTTGATGTTGTCGTGTTGATGTTGGTTGTTATTAAGGCAGTCGTCAGCAGCGTCCCTAATGACAAGGTAGAATAAGATTTACGATCGTCAATTTGTACACATTGTGTGATTAATGATCAATGGCCTTGATAAGTTGGCTTTATTTACTCCCTGGGATGATCGTCCCATTCCTACTGTCCCTTTGTTCTTGCCTTCTTCCATCCTCATAACAGTGCATTTGTTGATATTGAAGTCTGGGGCCCACCTGGTTGTTGCGCAGTTTACCCAAGGTTTTCTCGGGGCTTTCTGCAGGCATCGCTGGGCTTGACGTCACGCCCGCACTCCTCATCTCCCTATACGTATAAAATACAACTGTTTTACCCTCACCAGGAAACGTACCAACCCTGACAGCCGATCGAGGCCGATGCATAGAAAGCGTCATTATTACAGTGCTGGATTTATTGTATTATACGTAGCATTTTTGACGGAGTGGTTGATTCCTTTGCGGAATACTTAATACACTTTATGTTCACACTTTTCTTAGTGTCATCGATTCGCGTGGCACTCTCCCGCCCCCCACTTTGTTCTCATCCGCTTGGACTACCTGGCACCGCTACTGCCTTGTTTCCTGCAGGTCGGCGTTCGATCCCCGATGGTCCAAGTTGTTGAACACCGTTTCTTCCCTCTGAACTAGTGCCCCAGCTTCTTGGCTTCATATTCCTTCCATGGGCTATACTAGTCACGCTGGTTTGACGCATTCCCTTGATAATTTACTTTACCCTCCTCTAACTCTTAATAATTTGACAGTTATTCTGTCTGGTTTTAACAGCTTATACGGATGCCTCTTGTGCGGGATAGTGTCAAACACTCTCTGGCTGTCTAGGAATGTGCGTCCCATCCCAAATCCTTATCCCTTGCAAGTGCTATATAGTCGTATTGGCTTGGAGCTTTCTCCTGATAGTTCCACGTCCCCTTTCTCATCTGGCCAAGGGAAGGTATGATCAAGGTAGTAATTTTTTCCTTGAAAGTCTTACAGTTTTTTTCCGGTAAGTCTTTCCTTCTGTAAATTGTTGCTGACCTCATATCCCAGCTCATAGTCTGACCTCATATCCCAGCTCATAGTCTGCCCTCATATCCCAGCTCATAGTCTGCCCTCATATCCCAGCTCATAGTCTGCCCTCATATCCCAGCTCATAGTCTGCCCTCATATCCCAGCTCATAGTCTGCCCTCATATCCCAGCTCATAGTCTGCCCTCATATCCCAGCTCATAGTCTGCCCTCATATCCCAACTCATAGTCTATCCTAAATACTGTACCTTCTAAATTCTATGTTGTCATTCTGGCTTAGCGATTCACCGTTTAATTACCTTATCTTGATCCAAACGACTCAAATACCGAGATATCGTCATCACCTTCAAGAGCTAAACACGTATTACACACCCGAATTGTCTATATAAACAGGGGGGGGGGGGCAGACTCCTCCCTGACGGGGCATGTATAAATAATTAGGGGGAGTATCTGCCCCTCCATAAGACGATCAGCGGTAAGGATTCCCGGCGGCCCATATAGGGTCCAACACCCTAAGATATTACGGCCCTTCGAGGGGTTGATCAAAAATATATCGATGGCTTGGGTTACGAAGGAAAGTAGCCCTTGTGCAGCTGTGACGCAAGAAAGTGAGTTGCGGATCACAGGATGAGGTACACTGCCGCTCCGTGAGGAATTTATGAGCAAATACGTTAATAGGTTATGTGTTTGGGTTTCGTGAGTTGTATTTTATTGACATAGCTTGGTTGTGGTGGGTGGTGGTAGGTGGTGGTGGTTGTGGTGTGTAGGTGGTGGTGGTTGTGGTGTGTAGGTGGTGGTGGTTGTGGTGTGTAGGTGGTAGTGGTGGGGGTGTGTGTGCATACACGCAGTGGCTACGGGGAAGAGAAGTCTATCTCATTTTTCCCCCCACCTACGAGCTCTTTCTGTACCTGTTGCGTTATTCTGTAGCCTTCCCGGCGCTCAAATTCTTTGCGTCTCTGGCCTTTAATGTTGTGAATGGAGGCGGCTTCCACCTGTTTTTCTCTCGGTGCATTTCACTTGCTAGTCACCCACTAGGTACGAGTATTTCCTTGCATTTCTTCGACTAAATTCCATTTCCAGTTTCCACCTGTGTCCCCTTGTCCTACTTTCTCTCAGTTTAGAGAGGCTGTGTTTGTCTAAATTGTTTATTTCCCCCTCAGTATTTTGTATGTTTTGAGCATATCCTCTCTGTTGCTTCTCTTTTTCTAGAACTAATCTTGTAAATCTTTTCACTTTTCCAATTTTGGTTTTGTGCATTACAACGTGCAAATTTCAGTCCTGTTCCGCATATTCCACTGTTTGTCTAACAAAGGAAATCTGAATTATATTCTTTAAATACGACCAAATAAGTATTTATCCAAACACTCAAACATGTTCTATATTAAACACTCCCATCCTCTCATTATCTCTCCTCTCACCCCTCTTCCTTAAATCCCCCCCTCCCTCCTCTTCCCATCCCTTCCATTCATTATCTCCCATCCCACCTTCCTCTGTCCTCTGTTTACCAAAATATATTTAACACAGCGCTAAGCCTCAACACAAGTCACTAGACGAACACACCCCAATAAATTTTCATGTCTGGCCAACAGAACAGTGACTCATTAATTCATTCCGGTGCTAATATGTTAAATGTAGTGATTGTGTAGCTTGAATGTGATGGGAATATGTTAGCCATAATTAAGTGGTGTTTCTAGAGCTGGGCCGACACATTCCAGCCTCCTGGCCGTGGGATACGGTGGGGTACATATAATTCCAGTTCAATAGGAATATGAACACAGGATAATTCTGTTGGTATTTAGTTTAAACACGGTGTAATTGGCTCTGTTGAAAGCTGGATATTGTGTTAGTTAGGTGTGTGTGTGTGTGTGTGTGTGTGTGTGTGTGTGTGTGTGTGTGTGTGTGTGTGTGTGTGTGTGTGTGTGTGTGTGTGAGAGAACTTACTGTATGTGTGAGTACTCACTGTGTGTGTGTGTGTGTGTGTGTGTGTGTGTGTGTGTGTGTGTGTGTGTGTGTGTGTGTGTGTGTGTGTGTGTGTGTGTGTGTGTGAGAACTTACTGTGTGTGTGTGTACTCACTGTGTGTGTACTCACTGTGTGTGTGTGTGTATGTGTGAGTACTCACTGTGTGTGTGTGTGTATGTGTGAGTACTCACTGTGTGTGTGTGTGTATGTGTGAGTACTCACTGTATGTGTGAGTGTACTCACTGTGTGTGTGCGAGCTTAAACATTCGTACATGTATAAAAGTGGACAAATATATATATATATACTCTCATTACAATAACAAAAATATTCCTATTACAATAGGTTGTGGTGGAACCCATTGTAATTTAGTTTTTTTATTGTAAACAACTATTTTCCTATTGTTCCTCCCCCCTAACAAAAAATATATATATATCCTCGAAAAACAAAGTTAAAACATCTAATATATATATATATATATATATATATATATATATATATATATATATATATATATATAAATTAAATTTTATTTTCATTACTCTGCAACCTCAGTTCATTGACGCCAAAAAACTATTAAAGCGTCAACTATTTCCACGCATCTAAATTATTTAGTTGTGTGATCCCATTATTTAGTTGATCCCATTATTTAGTTTAATGGGATCTGGTATTTTATATCTAATCTGCTAGTATAGCATAAGTTGGGGTATATATATATATATATATATATATATATATATATATATATATATATATATATATATATATATATATATATATATAACTGAAAACTCACACCCCAGAAGTGACTCGAACCCATACTCCCAGAAGCAACGCAACTGGGAGTATGGGTTCGAGTCACTTCTGGGGTGTGAGTTTTCAGTTGCATATTGTTCAGGGGACCATTCTGGCTTGTTCGCATATATATATATATATATATATATATATATATATATATATATATATATATATATATATATATATATAATATATATATATATATGTATAAATATAACTGAGGAAATATAGCTATTATATATAACTATGTGAGTTGGTATATACTGAAACTACGAGGGCGTATTCAGTATTCGTATATATATAGTATTCAGTATACTAGTATACTGAGACTATATGAACGTGGAGGATTCGAACCTGATCCACTTCTGCCTCTGGTAGCTCAGCACTATAACCACTCAGTATATGTATACATATTATGTATTATATATTGTGAACATTCTATACATATCCTAACTGATGTATTGTGAACATTCTTCCAGTGTGAATTTTTTCACATTGGAAGAAATATGGTTTTTGGTTTCTCACACGGTGAGAAACCAAAAAGAGGTAATATCTGAAATATAGGAAATAAAGTTCTCATCTCGGTCGATGAGCTTTTTATAAGGGTATTTGTGAGAAATTTATATTACAGTATTTCTCATTAGGCTTCTCAAGGTTGTTGTTGTTAATTACCCAAGCTGGTCGTTCTCATTACCCCAAGATACCCACCCTCATTACCCCAAGATGCCCACCCTCATTACCCCAAGATGCCCACCCTCATTACCCCAAGATGCCCACCCCTCATTACCCCAAGATGCCCACCCTCATTACCCCAAGATGCCCACCCCTCATTACCCCAAGATACCCACCCTCATTACCCCAAGATGCCCACCCTCATTACCCCAAGATGCCCACCCTCATTACCCCAAGATGCCCACCCTCATTACCCCAGATGCCCACCCTCATTACCCCAAGATGCCCACCCTCATTACCCCAAGATGCTCACCCTCATTACCCCAAGATGCCCACCCTCATTACCCCCAGATGCCCACCCTCATTACCCCAAGATGCCCACCCTCATTACCCCAAGATGCCCACCCTCATTACCCCAAGATGCCCACCCTCATTACCCCAAGATGCCCACCCTCATTACCCAAATGCCCACCCTCATTACCCCAAGATGCTCACCCTCATTACCCCAAGATGCCCACCCTCATTTCCCCAAGATGCCCACCCTCATTACCCCAAGATGCCCACCCTCATTACCCCAAGATGCCCACCCTCATTACCCCAAGATGCCCACCCTCATTACCCCAAGATGCCCACCCTCATTACCTCAAGATGCCCACCCTCATTACCCCAAGATGCCAACCCTCATTACCCCAAGATGCCCACCCTCATTACCCCCAAGATGCCCACCCTCATTACCCCAAGATGGCCCACCCTCATTACCCCAAGATGCCCACCCTCATTACCCCAAGATGCCAACCCTCATTACCCCAAGATGCCCACCCTCATTACCCCAGATGCCCACCCTCATTACCCCAAGATGCCCACCCTCATTACCCCAAGATGCCCACCCTCATTACCCCAAGATACTCACCCTCATTACCCCAAGATACCCACCCTCATTTCCCCAAGATGCTCACCCTCATTACCCCAAGTTCGGGCTTCATTACACCTCGTTACACCCCCTCTCCCCCCCTCACTCCCCCTCACCGTTATTAATGGTCGGTCCTCCAAGATGATTTGCCTTTTATTGGACAGTAATGGATGATTAATATAGCCGCGGTGCGGAGACAATTAGAGGAGTTTTTTTGCGCTGAGGGGCGGGCAGTAGAATGGGAGGGGGGGGGAGGGTATGGGAGGGTGAATGAGAGAGAGGATAAGTGGGGAATAGAGGGGTCGGGATGGGAAGTGAGGGGAGAGGGGGAAAGGAAGGATGGGTTGAAAGGAGATTTATGGGAGAGGGGACAAGGACGATATAGGATAGGTGGAACAGAGAGGGTAGAAGGTAAGTAACGGAACGGTAGAGGAGGAATCAAGTGACGGGGGGAAAGAATGGGTAGGGAAATGGGGAAAAATGGGGAAAGGTTTCCCAGGCACCAGCACGCGGCTGCAGACGCTAGTGGGGAACCCCTGAACCACCCGACGGTCTCTGGCCTCCTACAACAGCTCATCAAACTACTCCCTTCTTCAGGCGAAATAATTATGTTCTTGGGAAACATGCTCTACCACACCCAGACGAACATAAACACCCCGTTGGGTACACGCCGTTGGGTACACCCCTTTGGGTACACCCTGTTGGGTACACCCCGTTGGGTTCACGCCGTTGGGTACACCCCGTTGGTACACCCTGCTGGTTACACCCCGCTGGGTACACCCCGTTGGGTACACCCCGTTGGGTACACCCCTTTGGGTACACCCCGTTGGGTACACCTCGTTGGGTACACCCCGTTGGTACACCCCGTTGGGTCACGCCGTTGGGTACACCCCGTTGGGTTCACGCCGTTGGGTTCACGCCGGTGGGTACACCCCGTTGGGTACACCCTGCTGGGTACACCCCTTGGGTTCACGCCGTGGGTACACCCCGTTGGGTACACCCTGCTGGGTACACCCCGTTGGGTTTCACGCCGTTGGGTACACCCCGTTGGGTACCCCTGCTGGGTACACCCGTTGGGTTCACGCCGTTGGGTACACCCCGTTGGGTACACCCTGCTGGGTACACCCCGTTGGGTTCACGCCGTTGGGTACACCCCGTTGGGTACACACAAACGGCGAGTGCCTCCAAAATGGGCAAGGTAGCCTCGCTCCGTGAGCATATAACGTGGACATGGGATCATTGTGGTCATGTCCACCTGACTGTATACATCTATTTGCATAATAGTAATGACCCAACACCCTTCCCTCTCCCCTCCACAACGTAGATCAGGGAGAGGTGCTGCTGCTGCTGTAGTAGTTGACTGGCTGGCTGGCTGATAGGCTGGCTGGCTGCCTGTCTGGCTGCCTGTCTGCCTGTCTGGCTGCCTGTCTGCCTGTCTGGCTGCCTGGCTGGCTGGCTGGCTGCCTGTCCTGGCTGCCTGTCTGGCTGCCTGGTAGGGAGGCTGGCTGCCTGTCTGGCTGCCTGGTAGGCAGGCTGTCTGCCTATCGCTGCCTGGCTGTCTGTCTGGCTACCTGCCTGGCTGCCTGTCCTGGCTGCCTGTCTGCCTGTCTGGCTACCTGTCTGGCTACCTGTCTGGCTGCCTGGCTGCCTGTCTGGCTGCCTGGTAGGCAGGCTGGCTGTCTGGCTACCTGCCTGGCTGCCTGTCTGGCTGCCTGTCTGGCTGCCTGGCTGCCTGTCTGGCTGCCTGGCTGGCTGTCTGGCTGCCTGTCTGGCTGCCTGTCTGGCTGCCTGTCTGCCTGTCTGGCTGCCTGTCTGGCTGCCAGTCTGACCGGCTGATAGGTTTTTATTGTGGCCAACTTTTTTTTCTACCCCTGCACTCTCCGAGCTGAGCAATTAGGCCCCAACTAAAACATTTTCCATAGTTTAAAATATACGTCACGCGTGCTCGAGCGGCCACGTGAGTGTGTTGTATAAACAGGCGGCTACATCAACATGTATTATTACGTTTGCAAAACAAAATGATTAAATAATCCAGCCTTCTCGTAACCATTTGGGCTTTAAATTGTTCACCGATCGTAATTCATTGAGACTTTGAATGAAAGGAAAGAGAGAGAGAGAGAGATGGAGTTTTTATTCAATTGATGAGGGAGAAATATGGTGTGGTATTACAATGGGATCGAACCCTCCTTCCTTGGGTATTTGTGTTTTTAATTCGTCTTTTTTTACTGGATGACTATTTTGATTATTATTATCGTCATTAATAGTAATATTGATTAGAATTCATTACTGTCGTCATGATTAGTAGTAATGCTGATTATAATTGATTAATATCGCCATGATTAATAGTAATACTGATTATAATTGATCCCTGTGAGGCAGGTGGGTGCCCCCTGGAGCAAAGGACATAAAGACGTCTCCAGGCGACCTCCCCCCCCCTTCTGGAACAGCGGGGGGCGGGGGGGGGGTCGCTTGGAGACGAGGGCTCGGCAGTAAATAGAGCGACGAGGAAAGGAGAAATAATAGAGTTAAGGTTAATAGGAAAGAAAGAACGAAAGATAAGAGAGAAGGGAAGAGTGAGTAAAGAAGTCGGAAGACAGGAGGAGCAGGGAACAGGAGGAAAATAATGATGAAGGGGGGAAAGAAAGGAGAATAAAAAGAACGCATAATAAAGAAAAGAGAATTGGCATACACGATTCCAATTCACGAAACAACAAATTATCCTTATCACAAAATGTGATAAGGATAGACTGATGAAACCAAGGATGAATTAAACAAAGAGGTAGTGGAGAAAGACGAATATATATAAAATAATACAAATCATGACAATTTATATGAGAAATTTAGATAAGAGAAGTCATTGATAAAATTTCTATCGACTGCCGTAGGCTACTGAGATCGGTCAGTGTGGCGGCAGTCTTCAAGAGCGACTAATATCATCTTGAGAAATGTGATTTCCAAAGTTTCTTCTCAACCTAAGGAATGATTGATGATTGTGTTCCGATGGGACCGTATTGAACGGCATTGGCCTTGACTACATTGCACGGCTGACTTGCACACACACACACACACACACACACACACACACACACACACACACACACACACACACACACACACACACACAAACACACATTCCAGTTGTCATATCAGAGGAAATCAGGAGAATGATTATTATTATTTAGGATTAAAAAAAAACACGCACACACTAAAATATTTATGTATTTTATGCCAAGATTTGAACTACACCAAGTCTTTCGCACTTAGGTCCGAGTAAATTAATTGGATAAGTCGTTGAGATATACTAAGTCTTTTCCAAACCATTCTCAGACTTTAGTAATGCACTCAAGTGAGAGAGAGAGAGAATGAAAGATTTGGTGAAGTTCAAATCGTTAAATAAAATATATAAGTGTGGATTTTTATGCTATGTTCTTATGTCTGTATTAAAATATTACCATTATTGACTATTATTATTATTATTATTATTATTATTATTATTTTTATTGCAAGGATTTGTTTATATTCGTATTTACTGATTACTTTATTGTTATGAATCTTTCTCATCGTTATCTCTATCGTTAGAGATATCGATATCTCTAATATATCGTTATATTATATATCTATTATAACGATATGCTGTGGTTGTTTTTTCTTGATTGTTAATGGCAGTTAAGGGGGAACATTGAATAGGGAGAGGCACAGACAGACTTGGCAGTGACAGCTGCTAACACGAACGTGAATGATCTGTTTTTCATGGGAATAATGAATGAGTATGGCATTCTCCTCCCCCCATCACTCCCTTGTCCCTCTTTCCTTCACCCATCACTCTCCCTCCTCTTTCCCCATTCCTGTTCTCCCCTTCACTACCCCCTCCTCCATTCACCCCTATCACCCCTTCCCTTTCTCTGCTGCCCCCCCCCCCCCCCCCCCACCTCATTTTCTCTGCTCCTCTTCCATGTGTGTGTGTGTGGTGTGTGTGTGTGTGTGTGTGTGTGTGTGTGTGTGTGTGTGTGTGTGTGTGTGTGTGTGTGTGTGTGTGTGTTGTGTGTTTGTGTCAACACCGAAATATAGTCAAATTTACATTGAATTTTACTGTGAAAAATTTACAGCTAAATATGCCGGGATATTTAGAATAAATACACACACACACACCACACACACACACACACACACACACACACACACCACACACACACACACACACACCGTAGTCAACACTGCCACACGACACACGAGTCAAAGATGTGTGTGTTTGTACGTCCTGTGTGTGTATGTTTGCGCATACGCGCGGATGAGAGAGAGAGAGAGAGAGAGAGGAGAGAGGAGAGAGAGAGAGAGAGAGAGAGAGCAACGGGCCATACATAACATCGTGAGCTCTCTCGTATTACATGTATACTTTGTGCAAGAGTTGCCATCACCCATGGGGGGGGGGAGGTGGCTCTCCTCCTCCTCATAGCGCAGCTTGCCCAAGAAATCTCAATGTTGTACTTTCATTTCTTTCAAAAATCGCGTCATTTGCATATACATGTAGTGCTGCGGGAGACGCAGCCTCCCAGTGCTCTTCCGGGCCCCATCTTAATATTCTGCTGACTCTGATTAATATTCTGCTGACTCTGATTAATATTCTGCTGACTCTGATTAATATTCTGCTGACTCTGATTAATATTCTGCTGACTCTGATGCTGCATTTGTCAACGCTGCATTTTAATAAATTGAAAAAAAGTTTTTTGTGGGAGTGAATAGTGCTCAACTAGTTGTACTTAGCATGTTGTGCTTGCGGGGTTTGAGCTTTGGCTCTTTGGTCACGCCTCTTAACTGTCTATCAAATTCTATATTGACAGGGTAGGTAAACTGTTTAACACGGGGGTGGGACACGAGCAAGGGGACACAGGTGGAAAGTGAGTACCCATATGAGCCACAGGGACGTTAGAAAGCATTTTTTCAGTGTCACAGTAGTTAGTAAATGGAATGCATTAAGTAATGATGTGGTGGAGGCTGACACACACACACACACACTCACTCACACACACTCACCACACACACACACACACACCCCACCCACA